CCTGAAAATGTGCGTTATACACTATTTATATGTTATTGCGAGAAATATCATCCACATTCCTCGGTGGTCGAATGATAGGACGCTTTGCCGACAGTGCAGAGAGAACCGGATTCGATTTTTAGGTTCGACTCCAAATACGCACTTCGTGATACACATGACTTTTTTTATTATGGACTAGTGACTTTTTTTATTATGAAATGGATATGTGATTATGTAATCTTTATCGTTAAAAAATTTTTTAATTTATACATTTATATGTGTTATGAATTTTTTGTGACATTTTGTAATTCGTTTTGTTATATTCCAAAATTCTATTACAATTTAGAGAGAAAGTCATATAATTAATTAATATCATTATAAAGTATCATCACATATATAAAAAGCTATTTTATATATATAAAAAGCAATGACTACATGAACAAGATTTTCAAGATTATATAATGCAAAAAGAACATTCCGATCAGTTTACAAGAGGTTTGTCTGCAACGATGTTTACGATAAGCATAAATCCGGAAAGGATTTTCGAGACATCGAGATATTCTAGCGGTTAATCCTCTTGAGTATGCTAGATTCACCGAGTTTTTTTAGAGTTTTCGTATATATTTAGTATCGTACGAAAGTTTTGCCAAGACCTGAGAATTCAGGACATGGCTTGGGCGGATCCCCAGTGCCGATCTTTTAATCGTAACTCGCGGCTGGATACTAAGCAGAAAGATCTATTTTATTGTTCCCGTAATAATGCGGTAGCGAATTTTTATACAGTGTGAATAGAAAATAGTGAGAAAATTTTGAAGCATATTTGACTGTTATATATGATAATTTCATCAAAGATTTTTGAAATTCCCTTATATTCAATTTAAACGTAACAATAATTATTATACTTTTTTCTTAAAATACATCACAAATCGTATAATGTATAAAGTTAATTATACATAGAGAACATGTCTACACATGTATATTTGTACATAAAGAATTAAAAAATATGTATTATGGAAGAAAATAATTTTTAATTCTTTGTTCCATTTCACGTTTAATTCACAGATGTTTAAAATAATTACTTTTAATTAAATTAATACGAATTTTTGCTTGATAAAACTAAACAATAGAAGATAAATAGAAATGGTTAATAATTTGAGCATAAAAAGGATGATATAAAATATGATATAAAATAATAATTTATTATAAAAAGTAAGAATTAATGGTACGTTTCGACCTTACTTGGCCCTTTTCCCTCGTATAAAACTAAAAAATTATAAAATAGAATTTCTAATGCATTGTTGTCCAAAATTTTTAATTAAATACAAATAAATAGGTAAATATAAAAGTTAAAAATAAATAACTAAACATATTAAATAAATGATTAAAGAAATGATTAAAGAAAGGATTAAAGGAATAATTACAATCTAATATGTGTTTAGTAATTAGGTACCAAATGTCTCGACGAATCCAATCTAATATTATTTTTGTTCTTTGACTCTAGTCTTGAGTTGCATCTTCGTCTGTCCCACGTAAGAAGCGTCGCAATTATTGCAAGGAATCTTACATACATTATTATTAGACAGAAATTCGGATTTGTCTTTATGAGCTTTGATAATGGGATTGAGATTGTTGAAAGTACTAAATCCCATCGTATGTGCGGAGCAGTTGATAAGTGACGCAGCTTTTTCAGATATATTGTGTATGTATGGAATTACAAAAAATTTTTTTGTGTTTTTGTTAAAATTATCGTTATTGATAATATCACAATTTAAATTCAAATAGATTATAATTTTAATCTTTTTCTTAAGTTAATGACTCTAAAAATTAATTCTACACGGAGAAAATTTTTTTTAAATGTATCCTCCAAATCATGTTAATTGTGGAACAATATAGTATTTAGGCAAATTTTACTGTGCACTACAATAAGTATTTTACAGTAACATTTATAGTACTATATTGTCCCACAATTAACATGATTTGCACGGTAAATTAAAAAAAAAATTCTCTCTGTGTAGAGGGTAACCATTATCAAAGAATAAATTAATACATAATTCTACATTCTTACCCTAGTAAATAAGGTGAGACAAAAGGACAGCTCTGTCATCTAAATTATAAATGGTGCCGATCTAATGGCACATTGGGTGATCA